ATTGTTGGGCCGAAAATGACGTCAGAGTGACGCCATGTCGGCCAAATTTTCATGCAAAATATTGACTTACGGCAAACGCTCTCAGGAGCTTACTTCTAAAGCTAGATCTAATTTCGTTGCATCAGCAGACAAAAAATAGGTACACGTGGCTTTCAAACTGCAATCTCTAATTTTCGAAATTTTGGAAATTTTGAAAAATATAAATTTACATTTATAAAAAAATGTATTTGTTTTTTTTTCAAAAAGTTTTTGATTTTTCGCAAAAACCGAATAAATGTGATAGAACACACTGCAGTGGCGTAGACAGGGGGGGCCATGGGGGCCATGCCCCCCCTTTCCGCCCAGCCGCCCAAATGGCGCCCCAATTGGCGCCGACTAGGCTGATGCCGTTTTACAGAGAGAACATGAATCAAAAAGAGATGTGCAGGCAGGGATCGAACTCATTATCTCTTTGGGGGTGCCTGGATAGTGGACACCTAAATAATCTCCAGGGCACCCCCAAATACGACCTGAGCCCCCAAATGTTGAAGGGCGCCCCTCCGGAAACCAGAATATTCCGGACCCCCAGGGTCGATGGCGCCCCTGAAGAGCCGCTGGCACTCACTTAAACGGAACAGTCGCCCCATGGCGCCCCTCTGAAGCTTGATGGCGCCCCTCTAGAGCACCCGGCGCCCCTCTGAAGTTCACAGCTGCCCCAATCGACCCATCCAAGATCGATCCCTGAAACCACTGGCGCCCCTCTAAAGCACCCGCATTCTTCTCAAGATCACAGTCGCCCGTATCCGAGATCAATAGCGCCCTCAAGAGCCACTAGCGCCCCACCCCCCTGAGACTGAAGTCGTCCCGCTTGAGACTAAAGTCGCCCCATCCAAGCCCAATGACGCCCCTCCAGAGCGTCCGGCGCGCTTCTGAAGATCACGCCCATCTAAAAGAAGGTTACAGCTGCCCCATCTTAAGATCGATGGCAGCCCTCTGAAACCAATGGCGCCCTTCTAGACTACCCGGCACCCCTCTGAAAATCACATTCGCCCCATCCGAGACAACGCCCCTGGAGACTACAGTCGGCCCAACCAAGCTCAAGCCCCTCCAGAGCCTCCCTGCGGCGCCCTGCTGAAGGCAACAGTGGCCCCATCCATGCCCAATGGCGCCCCTCAACGCCGTTCTAAAGATCACAGTCGCCCCATCAATCCGAGGTCGCTGGCGCCCCTCAAGAGCCACTGGCACCCGCCTGAACCGGGGCTTCAGTCGGCCCATCCTTGATCAATGGCGCCCCTCTGAAACCACTGATGCTCCTCTGAAAATCCCAGTCGGACCATCCGAGATCAATGGCGCCCCTCCAGAGCGTCCGACGCCCTACTGAAGGCAGCAGTGACCCCATCCAAGCATTGCACCCCTCTAGAGCACCCGGTGCCCTTCTGAAGATCACATTCGCCCTATCCGAGGTCGTTGACGCCCTCCAGTAGTCACTGACGCGAAACTGAATTGGATACTTCGGTCGCCCCCCCCCCCGAAACCACTGACGCTAGGCAATTATTTGACAATGGGGCTTTCTCATCGACACCAAGGGCCCTTTTCAGGATGCAGCAGCTAGGCGGCGCCGAGCTGGGCTTGGATGTGCCAAGCGTTCCTTATTAGGCAGCCTTGTAAGTGCCACCCTCGTTGCGATACCTACCGCCCCTCAACGCGACGCTGCCCCTTCACCGTACAATGCCACCCCTCAATGCAAGTGGCGCCCCTCAGCGCTGTGCCGCCCATTATTGCGATGCCGATAGCGCCTAGCAGTGCGGTGCCGCCCCCAGCGTAAGTGTTTTTTTTATTGAACCTGCTGGGGGTGTTTGAACACCCACTTCTAACTCAGCTTGTGGGCCATGTCGAGACACGCAGTAGGCGGCGTTCAAAAGAGCGTCAAAAACTATTACAAAACTACTTAGATCATTTTAAGGTTAGGTCGAACTGGTCGAAGGTCAGGTCACCAGCGACAACCGAAAATCAAATTTCGCCGATGTTGACATTTTTCGACAAAGCGGCGCATAAGTCAGGATTCAGAAAGAGATTGAACTACAGCGCCGCAGCAAAGCGCATATTCGATAGCTCTTTCTTATGCTCTCTCTTATTGATTATCTCATATTTGACCTAAGGTAAACGTTTTAGCCTCAAAATATACGTTTTCGCGGAGGACGTTTATCTGTAACACCTTTTGGCTCAGACCTGCACGAGATTAGTTCAACCAGCATCGTGTTCCATTTTTCGAGACAGACGAGTCAAATGAACTAGAATTTGACATTACATAAAAGGGCATTTGAGAATTTGACCTAAGGTAAAGGTCATAACCTAACCGGTAAAGGTCATATTGCATATTAGTCGATCCATATTTTCGAGAAGGAAAATAATTATATAGGGTGTTTCATTGCTCTACCATATCTCTATCAAAAGTTATTGTCCAAAATCTACTGGAGACCTTTCATGACCTGAGATGACCTCAGTAACATAGAAGTGGTCACATCACGATTAATTTACCGATTAAATGTGTCATATTTACCTGCATCCCGATGGTTGAGGTTGTTTTCGTTCAGAAGAAGAGCATTTCAATTGTCTCCCATTAATCCGCGCCGTGCTGGAGGGGGGGGGGTTACGCCCCCCTTAGGTTTTTTTCTCGCGAACATCTCAAAAACGGCGTCGCGCAGCGCCTGCGCTGTCTTTGGTACACCTGTTCATACATCTTTTCTACACAGCTTGTTAAATTTCAGATGAGGGTCGTTCAAGGTCAGGTCACTAGGGCACGTCAAGTGACCTTACCTCAAAAAAGTTAAAAGACCTAAGAGTTAGCCGTTGGCAGTTTCCAAAATTGTTGAAATGGACTAAATTTTACCTTTGATGACCTCTGGTGACCTGACCTTTGACCTGACCTAAAAATTGAAACGAAGTCATTCCGTCATTATTTTTGACGCTCTTTCGATTTCCCCTTACCGCGTGTCGCTACGTGGCCCAGGAGCCGAGTTAGAGGGGGGACGTGAAAACACCCCCCCCCCCCCCAGCACGACACGGAAAGCACAGGCCACCAGCACGTTAGCTTATAGGTAGTCGGTAACTTATAGGTACTTAAAGAGAGGTCGCAAAATTGACCTGGCCCTCAAGGAAGATATTTGGTCTGGGGATTACGCAAGGCGAATGTTCGGTGAGATCAGCAGGTTTCTATGGCACTTATTCAAAGTCGACCATGCACACTCACATCATCAAAAGTCGTCTTCTATACTACGCCGGCCGAAGACATTCTTAACCTTCGTGCCACTATATGGGACAGTCTCACGCCTCACCCATCTGGCACTCATGCAGTCATGAGTGTCTGAGATTCTAAGCACGGCCACCCCGGTCGACCAGAGGCTGCAGTCCACAGGTCACTTTGGTTCAGTGAGTGAACCTGTATGTTTGTTTTTTTTTTTTTTTGCAAAGAATAAAGATTGTGCCTATCGATCAACGCATATTTGACCGTTTCGAATTCGAGTGGGTGTGTATTTTGAGAATAAGATGTCCGTAGCCTGAGCTCGTTTCCTATATCGTGCTAAATATGCATAAAGATAAAGGCTTTTGATAAAAAACACTGGGCTGCAAATTGCATTAATTGGATTTTATGAAAAATCAGCGAAACCTGGTTCTGATACTCGTGCCGGGTCCGTAGTAACACCTAGTAAATCATGCATGAATATATGACGTTACATTTTAGACTGACCCCCTGTCACTAGCTCACTATGGCGCCCCTCTCAAGGGAAAAAGTCGCCCCCTCGAGCACCATGGCCCCCCTTTCGCTGATTTCTGGCTACGCCACTGAACACACACCATTGAACTAATCTAGCAAGTTTTAGCCCAATATCTTCAAAAATAGCCAAGTTATTCGCATTATTGTGAAAATTTTACAATTTTATTTTTTTTTTCAAATCCATTTTTCAGTACGTTCTTGACGTCGTACAGCAATATAAATGGCACCATCGTGTTCCTGAGCTCAAACTGCATCTGATAGGCACCTTTTTTATTGAAAAATTTCATTTTCAAAATTTGACCTTTTCTGACCTGAAAGTGACCTGACCTTCGATAATTCAGCTGACAATGACCTCAAATGACACATACGACACTATTTTCGAAATCTACGAGTAAAATGGACCATAAAACATGCGTCACGTGACCGATAAATGATATACATGTTGTGCCCTCGGGGTGGGGGAGGTTTGGACAAACCTGCGTCCGCCTCACTTGCGGTTTATTCCCCCACACACACAACAGAAAAACACCTGACACGCATGGCACTATCTCGGCCAAGGTCAAGAACGGAAGAAGCTCTAGAGGTGACTCGACACCTCTTTGTCCTTACGACCCAAAACAGTTGACAATCATAAAGAGAGGGGGTGAACAGGTTATGCGAAATAAAGGATCGAAACTGAACAAAGCCATTTCGAACCAAACATATTACTAACTAAGTGTCGATCGTAATATCAAATCATAATCACCGCAACGACCAACACTATCAACAAAGGCGTAAAACTCAAACGATAATTGCGCGTCCGCGCCAATCGGCTGCGCGGTCAGCGCCACTAAATTAGTTCCCGCCACCACCCCTCTCTTTAATGGGAAACACTCCCGCTTCTTAAGCCTCCCACTATCCGCGGAAACCATTACACTCACAGCTATCAAACGTAACTTACGATGATAGCCCAATCCTAACGCTACTCGCCCGGAGTGAACCGATCTGGGCCTCTGCGACCCCGCCTGCTACGGCGGGGCCCTGGCTCACCCGCCGGGGCGGTACACTTTGGGGTTGGACAGCGGCTGTGAGCAGCACTTCTGAGTGCCGAGGAGCGGGTGCGCACTGGCGTGGGGCGGGGCTCAGGAACTGGATTAGCACCACCGCCGGGACCACCCCGCGGCGCGGCCGCGTCCTCACCTTCTGGCCGGCCGGGCACCAAGCGTCTAGCGTGGACACGCTCGCCGCTGGTGAGCCGGTAACTTACCGGGCCAGTCCTCCGGCTGATCTGCACGGCCCTCTGGCCCTCCACACGCCCACTCACCGGCTGTCGGACCCGAACCCAGTCGCCGACGCGCCAGCGCGGGGCGCCAGTCGACCCCCGGTCATATCTGGCTTTGTAGGCCGCCTGATACTTTTCGTGTCGCGCACGAAGCTCACTGCCGGTGTCCGGCGAGGAAACCTCACCTGGCACGACGTCCAGCAACGTCCGTGCCTCCCGCCCCCTCATCAGCCGGAACGGCGTCACTCCCGTACCTGCGTGCGGGGTAGCCCGGTACTCAGTGAGGAACCGCCTCAAGTACTCCGAGCGCGGCTCCCGGGCCAGCCGTGCCGACTGGATGGCGTCCTTTACCGTCCGATTCAGACGCTCCACCATGCCACAGGACTGCGGAGAGTATGGTGAGCTGAAAGTCTGCTTGACCCCCAGTCGGGTCAAAAAATCACGGAGTTGGGCAGACCGGAACGCTGGACCGTTGTCGGAGACCAGCTCCAACGGCAACCCCTCGCGGCTGAACACCGCCTCCAGGAAGCTGATTATAGACGCCGCCGTCGCGTCCCGACACAGCGCCACCTCTGGCCACCTGCTGAACATGTCGCACAAGACGATGCCGTACCGCTCGTGCTGGGGCCCATGCATGGGCCCAATCACATCGATCATGAGGCGCTGCCACGGACCGTCCGGAAGAGGAATCGGCTGGAGAGGGGGCCGCTCCTGCCGCACGTGGCCGTCATGCTGCGTGCACACCTCACAGCTCCGCAGGAGGTCACGTACCTCCTTGTCCAGCCGCGGCCACCAGAACTGCGCGCGCAGGCGCTGCTTGGTCCTTGTCTCACCTTGGTGACCCTCGTGGGCGTTCCTCAGGACGCGCTCACGCAGCGCCGCCGGCACAACCAGTCGCTCGCCGCGGAAAAGCAGCGGTCCGAGCTGGGACAGTTCGTCTCTCACCTGGTAAAAACCAGTCGCCCGAGGATCGACATCCCTCTGGCGAGGCCACCGTCCGGCGAGGTACCCCCGGATCACGTCCAGACACTCGTCTGACGCCGAGGCGTCCCGCAGCTCCTCCTCCGTGACTGCTGCCGCTAACGACAGAGCCGCGATCTGGATAGAATCATCATCAGGCCACCAGGTCTCGGCGACCGGCAGACGGGACAGGCCGTCCGCCACTCCGTTCCGCTCCGACCTGACGTACTCGACGTCGAACGCAAACTCCAGCAGCCGGGCCTCCCACCTCGCGACTCGCCGGCCGACGCGGTTGGAGCCCTTGACACCGAAAATGGTGCAGAGAGCCTGGTGATCGGTTCGGAGGGTGAATCGCCGACCCCACAGGTAGTGGCGAAACTTCTCGACGGCCCATACACATGCCAGCGCCTCCTTCCTCACTACCGAGTAGTTGCGTTCGGCCGCCGAGAAAGACTTCGAGGCGTACGCAATGACCCTGGGCTGACCCGAGGCGTCCATTTGCGTCACGCACGCACCGCAGCCGACGTCACTGGCGTCAGTGGAGAGCACCGTTCGTAGCTCCGTGCTGAACATGCACAGTGCTGGTGCTTCGCTTATCGCGTCCTTGACGCGGCGGACCGCGCTGGACAGCGCCGCCGTCCACTCGAACTGGTCCGCCCGGAGCGCGGCCCTCAGCGGCTCTACTGCGTCCGAGAACCGTGGCAGAAACCGCGCATGATACCCTACGGCACCGAGGAATGCGCGCAGGCTCTTTTCGTCCCGCGGCTCGGCCGCCTCCAACAACGGCCTGATCCGCTCCCGGTCGATGCGGACACCAGCTGACGAGACCAGATATCCCAGAAAGGAGAGCTCGCTCTGATTCGTCACGCTCTTGGGCCAGTTGACCCGCACCTTGTGGGCATCGAAACGCCGCAGCACTTCCCTCAGACGGGCGTCGTGCTCGGCCTGGGACGGCGCGTGGACCAGGATGTCGTCCAGGTATACCTCCACGCCTGGCACCCCCTCCAGCATGGACGCCATCACTCTCTGGAAGCACGGCCCGGCGCTCGCGAGGCCGAAGTTGACGCGCCGGAACCGGTAGAGTCCCTGATGACTTATAAAAGTCGTTAGGTCTCTGCTGTCAGGATGGAGCTCCAGCTGGTGATATGCATCCTTTAAGTCCAGCCTGGAAAAGACCTGAGATCCACTCAGGCGGTCAAGGACATCTTCGATCCTGGGGAGCGGGTAGCCATCCGTAATCACAGCTTTGTTGACCCGCCTCATGTCTACACACAGGCGGATGGACCTATCCCGCTTCCTTCCCACCACAAGAGGAGAGACCCAGGTAGATGCACTGACCTTTTCAATTATCCCTTGCTCCTCCAGCTCCTTGAGCCTGGCACTCACCTCGTCCAGCACTGCCAAGGGCAGCCTCCGCAGGGGCTGGCGCACTGGCGCCACCCCTGGGTCGATGGTCACCCGGTGCTGGTAGCCCAGGATGGCTGGCTGCTCTCCTGACGGAGAAGCAGGTCCAGTCGGAGAGGCAGGTTCGGACGGTGAGGCAGGTTGACCGGCGTGAGGGCTGGCAGGTTCGGCTGGCCCGACGGGCGAAGGGACTGGGCTGGCGTGACAGGACGGGTCTGTGGACACAGAGCATACACTGTCACCAATAATGCACACTTTGAACAGTTTCATCATGTCCAGGCCCATCAGAGCACGACCATGCGGCACAACATACACAGTTACATCATGACGCTCCCCCCTGCATGACACATTTACCCTTTTTACCCCTAACACATCTAACACACTCCCCCCATATGAGCACAGGCGCTCTGCTGCTGGCTCAAGGGCCCCAGGCGCCAGGTGTCTGGGGAGGAGGGACACTGGGGAGCCAGAGTCTACCGTGAACACGACCTCCCTCCCCTCCACCTGGGCTGTCAGAGTCATTGGTGATGCCGCGATTGCCAGCACTTGAACACTGGACACCACTCGCTTCTGGACACAGTGCTGGGCAAAGTGATTCGCTTTCCCACATTTGGAGCACTTCACATTGACAGCAGGGCAACACTGGTCCCCTCGCCTGTGTCCAGCACGCCCGCACCCCCAGCACAGGCTACTGCTACTCCCTGCCGGCCTCTGCTGCTGAGGCTGTTGCTGATGAGTGGAGACCCGACCAGCAGCACGGGTCCTGGCCCCACCACGCTGAGGCCGCCGACGCTGCTGCTGCTGCTGCTGGACAGCCTGAACAGGAACTGGAGCAGCTGGTGCCTCCATCACCCGAGCCTCACGTTCAGCCGACTCCAGTGTGTCACTGATGGTGAGGGTGCGCTCCAAAGTCAGGTCAGAGCCCTCGATAAGAAGTCTCTGTCGCAACTTGGAAGAGTTAGTACGCTCGATGACCTGGTCCCTTATGAACTCGTCGGTTCTGTCACCATATTCACAGGAGCTGGCCAGCTGGCGCAGTATCGACACCCACTGCTGGACTGTTTCCTCAGTTTGCTGCACCCGGCTCCTGAAACGGTAACGCTCCACACACACATTCTGGCGAGGAGCGAACTGGGCCTCCAGGCGCCGCCTGGTGAAGGCGTACTGGTCCTCGCCTTCCTGCTTGACAGCAGCTGGGAGGGACTCGAAAATTCGCTGCCCCTCCGCCCCCAGGCACGTGAGAAGGATGGCCTCCTTGCGCGCAGCTGAAAATGAGCCGCCGCCCACGGCCACCAGGAAGTTATCGAACATCCTTATCCACCGCGGCCAGGCCGTACCGGGCTCGGCGCCGGCCGCCGGCAAAAACGGCGCAGGGGCCACCGAAAAATCCATGGCCGACAGTTATCACGGCCGCGTAAAAACTTACGCCTTGTCGCCACTTGTTGTGCCCTCGGGGTGGGGGAGGTTTGGACAAACCTGCGTCCGCCTCACTTGCGGTTTATTCCCCCACACACACAACAGAAAAACACCTGACACGCATGGCACTATCTCGGCCAAGGTCAAGAACGGAAGAAGCTCTAGAGGTGACTCGACACCTCTTTGTCCTTACGACCCAAAACAGTTGACAATCATAAAGAGAGGGGGTGAACAGGTTATGCGAAATAAAGGATCGAAACTGAACAAAGCCATTTCGAACCAAACATATTACTAACTAAGTGTCGATCGTAATATCAAATCATAATCACCGCAACGACCAACACTATCAACAAAGGCGTAAAACTCAAACGATAATTGCGCGTCCGCGCCAATCGGCTGCGCGGTCAGCGCCACTAAATTAGTTCCCGCCACAACAATACAATTTTCATGACCTAGCCCGCGACCTGGTGGGGGGGCTATTTTTTGTCCCCCTCCAGACTTTTCGATATATCTCCAGAACCGCTGCGCCGAGCGTCACCAAACTTTGAATACCCTCCCGGACATCAATTTTACATATGGTGACCAAAAATTTTTTCCAAAGGCTATGATAGGTTGGCCGGAAATGACGTCAGAGTGACGTCATGTTCTGCCGTTTTCGACCCAAAAAAGGGTTTCGCGGGAAGAGCTGTCAGGCCTATTGCTTTGCAAATACAGAAAAATGATACGAACATAAAAGCTGTAGAATTGACAGGGCTACAAAACTGCGATCTCGGATTTTTAAAAATTTTGGATTTTGACCCCCAAAAATAAAAAATAGATTTTTTGAATAAAATAGCCAAAAAATCCAAAAAGTTTTTTGAATTTCGAAAAAAAAACGGAATATATGTGATAGTCCTTACCGCCTTCTATCTACATACCAAAATTGAGATCGATACCTCTTTTTTTGGCCAAGTTATAGCGAAAAAAACTGTTCCAAATTGATGACGTAAATTTTCAAACTCAATTTTTAACAATTCTAGAACCCGTACCGCAAAACAAAGACCACCATTAGACTCCCCGTGACGAGCTGCATCGAATCAATACGCATTTTATGCAAAACTATCATTTTTAAAATTTGACCTTTTTTGGCCAGAAAGGTCACTTCAGGGTCACTTCACCAGAAAGTGACCTAAGCCGTACCTGATAGTCTTATAACCAACACCATTGAGTTGGAAATGAAAAATTGGCCATAAAACATGCATCACACAACCTTAGTAAAGTTGGGCTCATGTGACCTGACCTGTGACCCTTGGTGACCTGACCTTTGACGTGACCTGGTATTGTCAGTGACCTCTAATAGCAACATATCTACTAGGCAACTGACGCCCTATCGCTGATTCTCGACAAAATGCGTTTTCCTCGGTGTTATAGCGCATTCCCTAGAAGACCCGTGAACGGTGAAACATTTCATCTTTGACCTGACCTGTGACGTCATCGGTGACCCCGAGGTCAATTAAATTTGGTTTCCTTCGATAAATTTGACAGGCCTTTCGAACGCCGTTTGAATTTTGCGGATCCGTCCAGTAGTTTTGGAGATACGAGGGGGGGGGGGCAAAAATAGCCCCCCACCAGGTCGCGTTATAAACAGACCCCACCAGGGCGCGGGCTAGGATGACCTGGCCTTGACCTTAAAAATTCGAAGTAAAAGTTCGGTACCCTCAGGGTATCTAAGGCATCCGTCAAGTAGTGCGTAAACCAAAAATGAGCCTGATCGGACCGGCGGTCCGGCGGTCAGAGCCTAAATTGTGAACTAGCAAAAATGTCGATAATTTTTACTTTGACCTGACCTGTGACGTCATCGGTAACCTCCAGGTCAATGAAAATAGGTTTCGCTAGACAGTTTTTCCAGGGCTATCATACGCCGTTTGAATTTTGACGATCGGCCCAGTAGTTTCGTAGATAGGAGGGGGGCTCTGGAGAGCCCCCCGTCACTCGCTTTATGGAAAATACCCCAGTCATGCGCGGGTTAGCCCGCACCCGGCTGGGGGTCCTGGATTTCCACGCCCTGCTGGGGGGGGGGTGTTTGAGCACCCCCCCCCCCTTGTAACTCGGCTCCTGGGCCACGTAGCGATACGCGGAAGGCGGCGTTCGAAAGAGCGTCAAAAATAATGACGAAATCACTTCGGTCAATTTTTTGGTCAGGTCAAAGGTCAGGTCACCAGAGGTCATTGAAGGCAAAATTTCGCCGATTTCCAGGTTGAATGTCGAAAATTTCCAAGAAGCCAACGCATAACTCGGGAACCAATAGAGCTACAGCGCCGCGGAAAAGCGCATTCGATAGCCCTATTAACGCCCTTTCTGACTAATCCTCTCAGATTTGACCTAACGTTAACGGTTTTGCCTGCAGGGGGCAAAAACTGCAAAAATAGCCGATTTTTTCGGAAACCGTTTTTTCTGCAATAACTTTTGACCCAAGCCCTGTACGAGCTTACTTTTACCGGCATCGTGTTCCTCTCGTCAAGACGCATCAAATGAACTATAATTTGACCTTGAAAGGTCAACTTAAAAATTTGACCTCAGGTCAAGGTCATGACCTGACCGGAAAGGGTCATGTTGCATATCAGTCGATCCGTATCGTCGAGCTGAACACATCTAAGGCGTTTTCATCGCTCTAGCATGCCTCTATCAAAAGTTATTTGCGAAAAAACTGTTAGATACCATTCGTAACCTAAGATGACCTCAGGGCATAAACGAGGGTCACGGACACCATTTTCATGTTCAGTGTGTCTAAACTACTTGTAATTCGGTGTTTGGGAGTGTTTATAATGTCTTTCATCCAAAAGAGGCGCATTTCAATTTTCTCCCATTGACTTATAATGGGGAGGTCGCAAAATTGACCTGACCTTAGGTCATCGATATCAAAATTCTGAGATATAATTTTGTACATGCTATTGCTCTTAGCAATCGCTCAAAGTTTCAAAGCGATCGGTCACTCGGTGTAGCTATGAGACATTGAAACTTTTTATGAGGTGAGGTCACTTCAAGTGACCTGGTGACCTGACGTTGAATGACCTTGGTCTGAAATTTTTACAACATGTGTAGAATTGATGTATGATAAGGTGTACCAAAAACGGCGGCGCTCCGCGCCGCCGTTTTTGAGATATTCGCGAAAAACCACAAAGGGGGTGTTCAAACACCCCCCCAGCAGGGCGCGGGTTAAGACGTTAATGACTGAATGTGCAATGAAAAGTTAATATTTATCCGCCGTCTCGCTCCCGAGGAAAAGGCTGGCTTGTGCTCCGGGAATGTATTCGTCGGTGAACATAAGGTCGGTTAACATAAGCGACCATTTCACACAGCCAGCCTTTGTGAGGTGCACGCCCATACCCCCCAACACCGAAACACCGAGGGAAGGCGACAAGCGATAAATGTATGAAGAAACGCGGGCGAGCGCACAGCTAAACCCGAGCCCCGGGACGGGCGGAGAAGCCTACGATAATGTGAAGCGTATGTTTGTTAGAGGCACACTTATGCGATACAAGATGTATGGTGATGATCGCGATACCGCTGCCGGACTAGGGCAGTGTCGGTATCTCGATCGCGACGGGTACAAAAAAAAAATGTGTAGATACCGCAGCCGAAAAAGGGCTGTGTCGGTATAGCGCCCTCCCCCCTGTGTAAACACGCCGCGCAGGGGAAAATGTCGTGTAGACGTGACGCTGTGTGGATCGTCTGCTGCGCGCAGAGAAATGTGGGGAGAAAAAAAATGGGGAACTGGAAATAGCCACGCACGCGACACCGCGGCCAGCGGGCCGTGTCGGTATCGCGAGCCTGGGAAAACTAGCTCCGAGGACCTACAAACGACAACGACATGGAGGCTGCTAGCGGTCACTGCCGCTGATCTCCAGGAGGGAAATGGGTCGCCGAAGATATCTCCACATGGCAGCCGAGCGCCAGCGCCCGGCCTCACAGAGTTGGACTTGAGACATGCCCTCGCGGGCGCCGTGGGAAGCGCCGCCGATTCTGAGGCAATGCCCTGTCAGTGTCGCAGCGGGAATACCCGCGCGGGTGCCGGCACGGCGGAGCATGAGAGACAGCCTCTTGGCGGTCAAAGGGCGCCCGTCAGCGGAAAGGAACAGTATGTTCGTGGAAAGGCGCGCCGGGCGAAGCCGCAGATAGTCGGCCATTGCCCGAACTGGACAGGTCGCGATATCAGGCCGCGCGTTGAGAACAGTTGTAAACGGCCGGCGCGAGGTCTTTGAGGTGGGGACGGTGATTGAGAGAAAACTGCCTTGCAAGAGCACGTGCTCAAGGCGCAGAGTGTGCTCTGAACTCGCACCGACCGACACCTCGCCCGGCCGTAGCATGGCGAAAAAGGCGAGAGTAAACGCAGCTCGCAGAGCGGCGGCCTCTAATGAAGATGTGCGCAGAGAGCGCAGCGCGTCACAAACCCTGCTAAGCTCCGTCAGCGAGAGAGGTGCGCGCCGATCCCAGCTCGGCCGGAGGCGCCGGGCGCCCGCGAGCAGCTTGCGGATGCGAAAATCGGAGGTAGGGTCAGACAGACCGTTAATGCGATGAGCGTATGCTAGGGCCGAGCAATGGCTGGCAAGGGCTGCCGGGCCGCAACCAGCGTCGAACCGATTGGCCAGGTAATCTGCCACCTCGCTGACCGTGAGAGGAAACAGCGGGCGACTGGCCGGTCGTTGGAGAAAAATCCGGATGCCATTCCAGGTGCCCTCGTAGGCGCGTGCCGTCGTCGGAGCTAGCGCCGCCTGAGTCAGCTCTGCGACGGTCTCAGCATGTTGAAGGCGGTCCAGTCCCAGACAGTGGCTGCTGATGCGGCGTCCGGACGAAGGCGTCGAAAAACCTGCACCAAACCACGAGACAAGGCATCAGGCGCCGCGTTGCTTGTGCCGGCAACGTGTACGGCCTTGATGAGGATGTCATTTCTGACTGCTAAAAGGAACAGGTGACGAAGCCACACCATTGCATCAGGCGAGCGCGAGGATTGTGAGTTAAACGCCGTAACGACATTGGCGTTGTCGGACCGGATCAGGACGCACCTGTGCTCAAATGCAGCGGACCAGACCTGGATGGGGACCACCACGGCCACCAGCTCTTTATGCCAATGTG